AGAAAGGAGATATTCGTGATCAGCACAAAATTCTGCGTCGAATGGTGTACTTTTAAGGGGAAAATGAAGAGTGCTGAAATTTTGAATTACCGGCACCTTACAAAGTTTTTGCAATATCGATTGTTTCAATATATAGAAGTGTTCAACAAAAGTATGCCGCTGAGCAAACATGAGCAGGTGACAGTGTTTTGCACACTGCAATTTGGAATTTTTCTATGTTTAACCCTTGAAAAAATATTTAAAACTAGAGAAAAGCGAAGATTCACGAAAATTTTATTTCGAATAACCACATTCATTCTAGCCTACTCAGCGCAGAGCTAACTAATTGTGTGTGCAATTTTCACAGATTGCGTTGTGATAATAATTCTACACGCTCACCAGATACATTTGGGAAAAGCTACTTCGATGTTTTTTAATCGAAATGGGCCATAGATTAGTGTCAACAACAGTAGCTAGCACATTAAATAATAGTGTACCGGAAAAAATATGTAGTTTTTGAGGAACTGAGAAGCAAGTAGTGAACTAAATAGCTTGAGAGCTACAGTTTTTACTATTAATGTATCTGGTCGTCTCTACCAGGGGGTAGTGTCGCTCCTAGGATTAAATGTTATATATTTCTCTAACTAAATGAGCTGAAACTTAGGATCGGGTCTAACACTGGAGGCTCCGCACAAAGTTTCAGCTCATCAGCATTGAAGATCATGAGTTTCAGGGGAAATAATACTTCATTCTAGATTTAAATCGAAGCAAGATAAAAGAAAAGAAAGACGAAGATAAAGTGCTGTAACCCCTTCCCCCATAATAGACGATCATCCCCTATTAGCGGACCACTGCCGATTATATGACTTGAAAGCAATGGATACCTCTACTTTTGATATCAAATAATCAGACATATCATAACGACCAACGAATATAGACCATAAAAATAGGTCTGAAATGTAAGGAGGACCATTTTCATTATAATACCAGTCAACTAAAATTTCAGATAAAATTTTATGATACAATAATATTTTACTTGTTTTACAAAATACAAATCTAACCAAAGCATTTTAAATCACTCACTTTCGTTTACAAATGAAAACTCCTAAAATAACCAAAACATTAAATTCCTAGAATCATGTTTTTTAGTCCAACAACATCTATTTTTATCCTTACTTCGATTTTATCTTTGAAATACATATAATAATAATCTCTTTGTAACGGATTCTCGTTATCACCACATGGGAGACGTCTTTTCGCGCTTTTCTAAAATCGGTAGAAAATATGAAGTTTATTTGATTTTGTTTTTCAAGTTTTCATGATACTAACATGATCCTGATAAAGTTCATCTATATGAACTATCTTATCTCTTCTTAAATTTTCAAAAGTTGCACCATATTCAACAAGAATATCAACAAACGTAACAGAATCTAATCGTATGGCATCGTATAATGCATAATCTAATATATAATCCTAAAAAAAAATGTTAGTCAAATGATCGAACAGCCAAAAGTGTGTTCTTCTTTACACTTGATCTCGCCTTAAGTTAAATCATGTATTTATGCAGTGTCAATTAAAAGCAGGTACGCTTCTAAGTATTTACTTGGAATCAATCTTTTAACTTGATATATTGTCCGTAATTAGCATTTCTATAAAAGACCGTAAGATTCAACTACCTCTTATTACATTTAGTAGTCGTTTATGTCCGAGTATTACGTCGTAACATTCTGGCCATCGGTTGTTTACTTTCTCGATTACAAGACCCGCTGCCGAGTTCATCCATGCATCAAAATGTATTAATTGGCGCTCCAACCTACCCTAGACATTTCAGATAGTTAAAACTAATGGTTCGGAAAAAAACGGCCGAATAAAGAGCGTTACGATATTATCTGTATATAAGTTCTTGCAAACTGTTCTCTCTATTAAACGGAAAATTTTGGAAAAATAGGATGCGTCACGTCGTAACATATTATATTTTACTGAGATTTTTTTATTATGAGCAAGCGACAAATAATAATAAGTCTAGATATTAGCAGATAGTCTCAAACTGGTTAGATCTTCCTCTGCAAGAAGTGACCAAAAAAGTACTTCTAGCTTAGGTTTGATAGGTCGAAACAAGGTGATAGTTTTCACAATTGTCTAGGTAAAAGTAGCTTTCAGGGAAACACATAAGCCCTAACATAAGCCTTAATTGTCTTAAGACAATTAGAGCTTATGACATTTTTACTATTTTGGTCCAAGATTAAGATTATTTCTGAAGTCAACCGATATAGTGAAGGGAGTTCTATACGAGGGATTCTTTCGAGAGCGTACCATAATTACATCGACTTTAACCGAATGGAATGAAACTTTCTGAATTTGTAGGACTAGTAACGATATACGAAGTTGCAGTCCTACGACATCTATTAGTAAATTCACAACTTAAAATGCGTTTTATATGACGTAGAGCATCTTCTAACCTCTAAAAGGTACGACTCTGGACTAAATCTTGCATTGATTCGGCAACTGAATTCTGACAGTGAATCTTTTTTAAGGATGTAGTAGAAAAATAGTTTAGAATAAAACAATCGCTTTTCTCGAAAAAAAATACAATGGAGGTGCGTGTATGTATCCAAAGCTGACGTCAACTGCAGGTTTCTCGAAACAAGGACAAGGAGGAGGAAAAAGACGAAAACCATAGACAAAATAGTTGACGTGCTTATGTCTGGTGGTATATCATTTATTTTGGTAAGGTTTCGAAATCACGTCAAAAAGGACATAACAATATGTCGCTTCGGTTTTATTGTTGCTCTCGCAAACTATTTAGCAAAAACCCACTTACATCCCACGTATCTCCCATCATTGGCGTTGAAAGAATGATTGGAATTATTCCGGGAAAATATAAAACCATTGCTAATTTTAATAATTCTGACGGTAATCTATTTAATTCTTCCTTCGATGCATTAATAATTCTGTCTTTGAGAGGGAGATCTGCTTGTTCGGATTTCATCGCATCAGCTAAATATAATAAAACAGGCACAATCACATAAGCACTGAGGTCAATTGACAAAGATTAAAATTACATTACTTTGAGAAGACCCATTTTCATTATTTATACTAGTTTAAAGTACACGATTTGTATACGATACTGATTTGTGTTTGTGAAAGGATCCCTTTTAGTTTTTGAGATATATGGCTGTGAATATCGCTGATTATCGTTTAAAAAAGCAAGTTTTTGCGATGATAAGACAAATGTTGTTTCGAAATATCATTTAGTCGAAATATAATAACTATTTAGGCATAATTTATAAAATGATTTAAGCTCTGTTATATAACATTAAGATCGATTTTTTTCCCATCATGATTAGTACTTGTTGAGTAGTTTATCAGTACAGTTATTAAGAGAAAGTTTTGAAGTTTTGAAAGCGAAAACAGCGACGATGAAGAGAAAAGGATAAATGAATAACATGGCAGAAGAGCGTAAGGTACTACTGCTAAGTTTCATTGAAGAAGAATATTGATGTACGTTGGCAACTGATCCAACCCCAAGTCCGAGACTTGGGTACCCAATACTCAAACCAATACACCCAAGTCGCTTGGATTTGGGTTTGTAACATACCTACTCCACGAGCCTATCGAGTATACCTGTCAAGCGCGAAAAATAGATTTTGTTTAAAGTTACATCATTCGATTTGGCATGAAAAACTGGGGCGATGAAACCTTTTAAAACCTTATAAGTCATTTTGCTCTGGAGAAAATAAAGTTTTCCCGAGACCTAAGGCTAGAAACCCGGAAATTGACCTATTTCAGCTTGTTGTGTATAAAACCGTCAGTTTTCGTTGGATTTTTTTGAACAACATTTCAGTCGAAAGAGCGCACAAAATTAAACCAAATGTGATATTTAAAAGCTTTTTAAAGTTAAAATAGTAGTCGCAAAAAATGTTTTACTAAAATTTTGAGATTTTAAAAAACTGAGATTTTTGTGGAAAAACCTGTATATTTTAAGCAACCAAACGGAAATCCATAATAGAGTTTCGATATTTTAATAGAGCAAACAATTCTGCACCTGATGCATTGTTTAAAAATGATAAAATCGATGCAACTCGGGATCAAAATGATCCCACACTACTCTCTAAAAAAAAATGGTTTATTACGAAACTTAAAAGGGTATAGAGAATTGCAACCATTTTTATACCCTTTTAAGTTTCGTACGAACCTAGGTTCCGGCGTTCAGCTACGAAACCTGTATTTTTTTATTGACAAAAAGGTTTCGTGCAACAGGTTTCGTATTAAACCCTAGCAAAAAAGGTTTCGTACAAACTCGATGATCATATTTCGGCTACCTCTCAATTTCTTCAATCAGACCTTTTGTAATTATGATTCTTAGCTAGCCGATTTTATGTAGTTTAGTAAAGCTCTTCCTTGCGGACTGTATATCGATAGTAACCGCAAGTGTATTACAGACAGATTTTTCCATTTAATCTCTACAATTTATGCAGAAAAATTCAATATTTAATTGAGGGTTGTCTACTCTAGGTAGGGAATGATATTCAGATCCGAGAAATCCTACAAGTCCCCATCTACCCCTCATACACACGTATATCTATACATCTATATATATATACATATACACATCCATATAAATATATATGTATATATACATATTCCAGGATATACACATATATATATACATATATATCTATATATGTATATATCTAATGCTATGAGGATTTCAAGATTTCAGAACTATGCACTATACATTACGTATATATCTATATATGTATATATCTAATGCTATGAGGATTTCAAGATTTCAGAACTATGCACTATACATCACACACGCAGGTAGAAAGTACGGCTCTTCAGGCTGTCCATTCTAGATGAACACATATTAGACAAATACCTTTGACTACTGAGTCCAGAAAACTTCACGTTTTTGTCTCTTTTCTAACGATCGTGACTCACTCTCATGGCATCTGTCCTCCCCCCGACACCTCCACTTCGACACGAAGTGTCGAAGTGGAGGTATATGGTTAGAAATATATGGATTCATTGAATA